CTAATGCTGGCCCCGTGTACGAAGTCCGACTAAATGAATTTAAGAAGTGCCCTCTAACCAGTATTACCATGATTCTGTGATTTCACAATAGAAATGAGGCTCATCGTGGCAAACAATATGAACTTAATCCTCCCTCAACTCCAATAATACAATTTGGATTATTAAAAAATCCATTTTAAATGTACAGAGGTGTACTAAAGGATTCATTTAACATTAGGCACAGGTTTGTACCTTGTCTCCATCTTATTTAAGGTTGTATTGATTTTATTACATAAAAATTCATTGAAACAGGTGTGATGTAGACAGATGCCAAGCCTGACTTCTTAGTGGGTGATATGTGTATTATTAATAAATTAGTTGGAGATATGCATCAGAAGACAGATGGTACTGCAAATTCTGGCAAGCAAACAGAACTTGTTAATAAATACATGACAAGTTATGAAGAATGATGCACCTACTCAGATATGTATTTATTTGGAAGCTAGTCTTTAAAACCATGATTAAATTCGCTTTAGATGAGGATTATCGCTTCATGACTGTTAAGGTATTCACAATACACAAAGCAATGAGAAATTGTATGAACGGTCACTCTAATTAACAGGAACATCAAAACGGAGATCTTCAGAAGAAAAGTCTTGGTCTGTTTACATTAGAGTCTTGGGGAAAAAAACAAGTCTTTCCAGGGCAGGGTGGACAAGTCGGATTCTGTGTAGAATAATCAAGGTAAAATGGACTTCTGAACCAAGGAACAAAGCGCTGCTTTTGTTACCGTGGGTGGCTGGGCTGTTGCAAGTAATCCAACGTGTAGATAATGCAACAGAAGCAGCTGAAGCATTTTTAGGATGCTGATAAAAGGCTTTTCAGCCAAGTTTATTCCTTTGTTCTCCTGGAACAAGAGACTGAAAGCAAATTTCAAGACACACTAAAGTGCCATCTTTATATCTGAATATCAAAGATCTGAATGAAAGAGCCCAGGACAAGGCTGACTTATGCTGTGTGACCTCTTGAGCATCTGACCAGTGTAGGAAGAATAGTGCTGATGTAAATGAAAAGGGAACTCGGTCCTTTTCTATGTGCTCCTTTCATTGCTGCCTTTAAAAGCTGGACTAGTAATAGCCCATGAGTGCATGAAGATAAAAAATTTAAAAATATTTATGTGCCTGAACTTCCCAGGTGTTAGGTGCAACTTTCCCAGCCCTGCAATACTTCTCAGAATGCCTGTATAGGGCAAAATGCCTATTTTTGAAGAGAGAAAACTGTGGCGTAGGGACGTGGAACACTTCTCCATAGTTGATACAGACAGACCCAAGCACTCTCCACAGGTCTGAGCCACCCCAAGATGGGCAGCCCTGATGCAGAGATCATGTAATGGCAATGGTACCACATTAGCACGGTACCAGCCCAGAAGACAGTGGCCTATTCACTAAGTATGGCATCAACCTCAGACATCTGTGCCACTTTTAGACTACAGCCAGCTTGAAATACAGGGAGAGATGCTAATTTCTGGCTGTCCCCACCCAGCCAGGAATGTGACATGCTGAATACTACGCAGGAACCTCTACTTAGTGTCTGAAATACTAAACTATCTCTCTTCACTCTCCTGTCTGCTAACCTGAAGGATTTACCAAACACCGTAAGCGGTTAGGCGAATGGGATATAGGTAATTCACCAGTTTAAGTGGTTTTGCTAAGTAAAGACATTTGAAATTCTGTCCTAGACACCTCTCCAAAGGGATTCACTTGTCTGCTTCTTCTGCAGTACTGCAAGTGTACTGGCACCCTGAGAGCATCACATGGTGCCTTCACTGTCAGTTATTCTGGTGAGGATCAAACTCATTGAAAGAGTTAAAATGATTACTCCCATGTGCTTGTTTACTCACATGCACAGTAGCTATAAAATCAGACCCTGGAAACGAAGAATTTTTGCCCGTGGAATTGATTTGCATGTTATAATAAAGGCACTTCTGATGTATTTTAGTAGAGATGGGGGCTGAACACGTGCCTGTTATCAGGGCTTTGCTTTATGTTAAGACAGCCCTGCATTGTGCACTGCGTAATGAATTCCAGAAAACACAGTTTCTTATTGTTGTCAGTTATTGGGGGCTCATTCTCCTAATGAGATATGTAAATATCTTTCATTAACATTAATGGCGATTGTGTGCTTGGCCCCTGAGGAGAACAGTGCTTTCTGTCTAGCTATGGCCGTTGTGACAAAAATGCTATTACAGTTATTGCAAAAATTTGCCTTTGTGTTGTTGGTTGTCTGGACAACTTTTGGTATCATTTACAGAATTATCCCTGCACCTCTTTGGCCTGTTTATTTCCTTGCTTTGGACTGCTACAATAAGCACTTAAACATCTTTTTATACCCACAGCGCCAAAATGCAGAGAAAGGGACTGGGTGCTAAACTCCGTTAAATACAGGCAAAACATATAAGCCGGGGTTAACGCATGAGCATATGCTTTACTTCAAGCCACCCAACTGAAATCAGTGGGACTTCTCAAACTGTTAAGCAGTTTGCTAGTTGTTTTACCTGACTTTATGCACAGGCTGTTTGCTACTGACTGACCGGGGACCAGAGAGGTGGGTACTGTACAGTACTGAACTCTGAATACAGTAAGCCACTGGACAGGTTGGTAAGGGGTTCTTAAAGAAACTCATTGAAAACTCTTATAGCAAACATCCACAGAGATTTCCCTTGAAAAATACATACTTTAAAAGCCCAGAAAGTTGCTGGCCCCATCTATATGGTGCAGTACGCATGCCTGAGGATACTCCCCATCACTGCAGCCAGCTGGCAAAGAACAGCGGTGTCCCTACCGCTCTGCCCTAAACCTCCAGAGCAGGGGGACCATATGCAAACTGCCTGTTGGCAGTGGTGACAGCCTGTGCTAACCCCTGCTGGCCCCACAAATTATCTGAGAGAGTCCCCACGGAGCAGAGCCAAACCCATGCCAGGGCCTGTGCTAGATAATGAGCACGCTCCCCGGTCCTGGTTCACTCACAGGGATGGGCATAGCCTGCTTGTCGGGCAGGTATCGTAATTTTCCCTTCACTAGCTGTGAACTCAATTGCTGGGGGTTCACTCCGTTCTCAGCACAAAACAAGATGGTGCCTGCATGGGCTGCCCTAAGCTTTCCTCTCCAGAACAGCAATGACCTGACCACATGGAGGTCTCACCAGGATCGTCTAATTTTGGAGAAGATTACTGAAGAGGCTGAGGATCGGTTCTGGGAGTACTTCACAGGATAAACTCTTTTCTCCCAATTTCATACAAAGTTCTTCTATTCATGTAACAAATTGATTTTGACAGTTTGTGTCAGAAAAAAAACAGTGTTTCATGGAAAATCAGCCCTGTAATTACAGATATACCCACCGTCCCTCAAACGTGTATAAGGGCCTAAAGTTACGTGTGTTTACATATACATGTCTACACATATATAATATGTGCATGTTTAGAATACATAATATATAACATGAAGTAGATAATATACCAAACCATCATCTTGCCTAACTGACATTTAGGAAGACTAGGGCAGAAAATTTCCAGAGACATTCACATAGCGTATGAAATCTATGCCCCACTGAAAGTCACTGAGTCATATTTTCCAAACTATTTCGGTGTCTAAAGATGCCAACAGACACCTACTGTAATTCCGCAAAAGTATCTAGGCAAAGTCTATGTTGAATTCATCTCAAGTCCACCAAGACTCAGAAAGCACCGAAGAAAACTAGTTGTGAAGACTTCACTAAATACCTACAGCAGAATCACTTAGATGCTTGTGAAAATTTAACCCAGAATAATTAAGTGGAATAGTTATAATGGAATTTAAAATCTTAATGGCATTTGAAAGATAGTTTGGAGAGCAGACAAAGAGAGTCTCAAACCAAATATTGACACACTACGCAGCAATAAATATTATCTTATTTAAATATGGACGTGAGAAAAACATGGACTATAAAATAAAAGCAAGAAAAACATTTTGTTGGGCATATTTGAGAGAAATAACCTGCAAGTAAAAATGACTGTTAACCCTTCAAGCTGGTATCCAACCTCAACTAGGTTATGATAAAATACAAGGGCACATCATACTTCACTTGTTGGGTTCAGTTTTAACTTAATTTTCTGCAACTGGGCAAGATCAGATGGTCTGAAGTTGCCAGTGCTGGATAGCAAGCCAGCACGATCCCCAGTTCTGCTCTGCATACAGTAACAGTGCCTAAACATAATGGATTAACAGCATGTTCAGTGACTGTTGGAAAAACAAGCAATATTATTTACAACTGTAATGAGGCTCAGCAAACATCCAGCTAAATAGAAGAAGGAAATAATTCTCACTTCACTAGAACACTTAGCACAATGGGGTGCACAGATTGACTTCTAATTTTCTTCATATTTAGCAAATCAAGGAAATGCAAGCTTGGGGAAACAATGCCTAGTCTGAGCACGGATCTCATCATCGCATGCCTTCTGAAGCTAACTCTGAAGACTAGACATGTTACACACGGCAGCTGAATTCATTTTAAAATGCAAGACTGGTCTCCTACCAGCCATCAGTCTGCTGCCCTGAAGAAAAGAATGAGAGAGTGAAGATCTGTGGATGACTTTTTTCACAGATGTAATTAGGATACACTTGTGATCTTTGCAATACACCACTCCAGGTCACCCCTGTACTCGTGTGGACTGCCAGGCACAGGCTCACGCAGCTGTTACACACACCGGTTATAACAGCCTGTGCTAAATTCCTACAACAAAACTAGATTATTTCTATAAAATAGCAAGGTAGTCTTATTCCACCAAATGCCCATTGACCAGAAGCTCTAAATGACCCATTTGACCATTCCGCATTTTTCAGTGAATGGTGCTGTAGTAAGGACCAGAAATGTTAATAAAATTTAACAAAGATCATCCTTCCCTCCATTAGCATCCTTCCCTTCCTTTAACAAATCTCATCCCTCCCTCCACTACTCTATTATAAGAGAGAAAATGGCTGACGTACCCCATGGCGATGTTCATAGTAAGCCAACTTGGATTTGGTTAAGACAAAGAAGCGCACTTTAAAGTTGGAGGGTGAAGTCCTTCTCTTCTGCTGGGATTTTTTGATCAGCAGTTCCTCCAGGAGCACACAGTTATTCATGGCCGAACCAAAAATGGTCCTCTCCCAGGACATGGGATGTCTGCCCTATGCGCTGAGCGCCCGTCCAAGAAAGAGATGCAAGAAGGAAGACAGTTAATTTAAAAAAAAAGAAAAAAAAGGTGTTCAAAAGGCAGCGTAGGTGCTTTGAGCTTTATCTTCCCATCTACAGCAAAGCTTCCTTTCTGTCAAACTGTAACCACATCCTCTCTGAAGTCATAAAACGAACAGTGCATGTTGAAATACACGCTAAGGTAAATGTGGAAAAAATAACACTTGAGGGACATTCAGTAGATGTGAGTCAATGATTAAGGATTAATTAAAAAGAGGTGTGGCATGATTAAGCACCTGTCTCCTACTTGCCCATTTAGTAAATAGAGTTATAAATGCACACACTGAACAGGGATGTATAGGGTGAGTGTCTCTCCTGTCCCTTTAGAAGTAGGTCATGCATCCATACTTCTTTTTCAAAGGAATGGTGCCTTCCCAGTATTTAGCAGTTGACTGTGTGTCTCAGAGATTTCATACAACTTATTTTGAGAAAGTTTCCCACATAACATGAAAGTTCCTACTACATAAGCAAAGAAAATTACATCCAGGATATAGTTGTATAAGGAATGATAAATATTTGTAGTCGTTAGATATTTAAACTGAAAACAAATGGTTACAATAACTGATGACTAATTAATTATCATTGGTTACTATTTACTGATTACTGACTGCTTCAGGTGCAGTCTAATGAGCGCGTGGCTGGATGTTCCAGGAGGCACAGGCACAACATGCCCTCTGCAGATGCAATCAAGACCAGTGTAATCAGCAGTGAAGCGAGCACAAACATCAAACCAGGCGCAACTGGTTTCCTCAGGACTTCAGGGCACCACTCAGGGCAGTCTGCACCAGCATAAATATAGAAATATAAAAAAATTAATATGTACCTAATGCACTCAGTACACCACCACTGTTATATTTTAAAACAACTGCAACTAATTTTTCTCTGCTCTTCTCTTCCGTTTTAAATATTGTGTTTATTTTTTATTAGTGATGTATAAGTGTATTGCTGATGCTATTGAGGATTGGAGAGATGGAATGTGGGGAAACTGCTTCATTAATTAGGTATTTCTGAAAATTATTTCAAATTAAATCATTTACCAGTGCTGACTTTTGGCTTTAGTTCAACGTAGCATTAGGGTATAAGGAGATAGCTCCCAATCGCTGATATATTTTTAGAGTTGTTTTCAAGCTCCAAATAAGATATTTTGTTATTTTAAATTCAGATCATGAGAAAAAAAAATCTGAACAAATATCAGAATCACAAACTCTGTTTAAATGAAGACTTGGATTTTAGAGGGCAGTTTGTAGACAGATTTGGGAACCATAATTCTCAACAGAATGTATTGGTTATCCCTCCCCAAAAAAGAAGTGGCATATCCCTTCCTTGCTGTTTTATGTTATATTGTTTAGGCAGCATGTTCCAGGGATCATCAAACGTTCCTTACCAAAGATATTTTGTTATTTTAAATTCAGATCATGAGAAAAAAAAATCTGAACAAATATCAGAATCGCAAACTCTGTTTAAATGAAGACTTGGATTTTAGAGGGCAGTTTGTAGACAGATTTGGGAACCATAATTCTCAACAGAATGTATTGGTTATCCCTCCCCAAAAAAGAAGTGGCATATCCCTTCCTTGCTGTTTTATGTTATATTGTTCAGGCAGCATGTTCCAGGGATCATCAAACGTTCCTTACCAATTTTGTTCAATGCTAACTGAGAACCTGCATTTTCCATAAAAATACAATTTAAAGATAGTACTTGACATACAGATCTGTAAGAGAATTTGCTAAAGGCAGTGCAGTATCATGGAACAGAAACAAGGACAAACAGAAGCTGCTGCACAGTTCATCCCTTTATATCTGTATCTATCTCTGTGTGGTGGTCTTGCCAAAGACGAGATGCAGCGTGTATTGAAACATTCGTCACGCGCAAGTCTAGCGAAGCTATGTTTCGTTTCTTGGCAGAGTGACTGAGTTCCAAGGAACTCTTGTGGTTGAACAAGAAAGATGACACAAGTCTGTGATGTCCTGAAGAATTGCCACTGCTGCCAAGGGGGATTTCATATCTATTTGTAGACTAGGATCAATACTCGGGCCAAATTTCCCAATTCTTCCACAAAACAGTTTGCCTCATGCAATGCACGTACATAAAAAAGGCAGAGTCTGCTGAGTCTTCTAAAATTGCGCTCTGTGTAAAACAGCAGCTATTCAGATACGTCCAGACCCTGTTTAGGTGCTTGCACCTCTAAAATATAGGACCACTTTTGCGTGTCCATAACTTTCCTCACGCTTGAGAATTTGCTGGTTTAAATTATGCTCAGAGATCCTTTCTTGTAATTAATAAACCAAAACATGGACAGCAGAGTGCCCTGACAAACTGTATGGACTTCTCTCTGCTAGCAACGGTTAATCCCCCCAAAAAGGCTGTTGATCTTAATAGCGTTTCGCTTGATTTGTGTCAGTACAGATGAATTTATAACCACAGTTTGTAATGTCATTGCATTTTTAGCTATGAACACTTCCTTAGGACTATGTTATTCTTTCTAGTCTCTTCTTTGCACTAACTGTAGTGTGTTAAGGACTTTCTGAAAAGTCTTTGTAGCTTGGGCCAAGGGGGGTTGCAGTCCGTTGGCAGAGATGTACATGTTGTCTTCTCAGAAAATTGAATATAAATAGAAATGCAAGGGTGTGACATTGCAGCTCTGCAGAAAAAGCAAGGCATAAAGGACAGCAAAAAGATGAGACGCCAACACATAGACCTCTGAGGGGAGCAATGCTGCTGGAGATGAGAGGATGTGGGGGGAGAAGAGATTCAGCAAGGGTGGTAAGTAGTGGGGGGAGAGCTAAGAAATTCTTTGAATGTAGTGACTGGCAGCTTGATTTCTTCATGAGATAAGTTAGCGGAGGGACATGAAGAGGGGAGCGATTTGATCAAATGTTCAGATGGGGGCTTGGCAACTGCACTTCATTTGGTGTAAACATGGTATGATGCGATGCGTTGTAGGAGGTCTGACGGGAAGATGCTGCGAGGGTCAAGGCAAGAGAGAAACAAGGAGCAAATGAGATTTGGCTCTGCACGTGGGAGAACTGGACAGGCTGAGCTGCTGTGGAAGAGAAAGTACAGATTTGATACAACACGTAGAAAGACACACATAGTTGTAAGAAAATAATCACAGATTTTGGCCTGGAGTGATAGAGAATCTGGTACCTATGTTAGAACTACCAGGATTTAGCAGGCGAGATCAGCCATTCTGAGTTTTCCATGGTGAGTTCAAACTGATGATGGGCCAGCTAAGATATTAGACAGGGAAAAAAATAAGAATCACCGTATGGAAGGAAACAAGTCAACACAGCCAGGTTTGGGTGCCATTGATATAAACACAGGAGTTGATCTCAGTGGGAGCTGCTAACTATTTCTGTTTTGCAATATCTTTATCAACTGATAACTCTTCACTGTTGAACTGGGGAGGAAGGTAGGGACTGATGTATTTTTGTATCTACTCTTGCCACAGATCTACCCTTTCATGTTCCTTTTTCACATTAGTCCCAAACCCCATGTGTAGCAAACACAGAAATATTTGAGTGTAGCAAGCCAAAACCAGGATATGAATGCTCTCTAAGTCTAATGAATATATAGCCAGGTTGACACATATATACAAAAACATAAGGTCTAAGAATTGTATTTATATTTAATTACACATTTATGAGAGAGTAACCTGCTTATGTGTATTTGAATTTTATTTAATTTCAAAGATCATGATTTCTTGTCCAATTTTTAAATAAAATTCTTTGTTGCTTTCAAGACATGAACTGTAGACATAAATCATATGTCATCATCCTGGGTGACTAACAGGTTATAACCCTTTTAAACAAAGCCTCAGTCATTTAAGGGCTTCAGGACCCTTCTACAGTAGAGCAGGAGATAGATAGATAGAGAGATAGAGAGATAGATAGATAGATAGAAAGAAATACATCGCTTGTCTAGGACCAAGCTGGCTGCAGAGCTACATTGCTTGTCTAGGACCAAGCTGGCTGCAGAGCTGGAAGATGTGAGGACAAGTCTGTGGAGCTCTACACACAAACTACATAGCCTTCCTGAAAGGGCTCCTTGGGTGAGCTGGAATATCCCACTAACACAGGTATCTCATTTCTGGAACCTGACCTTGTATGATGGTGCAGTGATACACCGAACGTATGAGCACACTCCTTTTGTTCAAGGCTTTTAGCACCACTATATATTGCATGGTACAGAAATTCTGTATCCTTAATAGAAAGAAATTAAATATAACTCTCCTAAGTATCTTAAAACCACTGCAAGTCTATCCCTTAAGATGAGAAGACAAAGCCTGATGAATTTTTTAGGTAACCTCCATCTTCTCTGCTTAAGTGCTTTTATAAAGCCTGCTACCATGTATCCTTTGACACTTTTCCATCCCTATGCAGGAAAATCTGAAATATTTTAAATGTTTTAGATTTAAGTTTGAGCTGCTGTGTGCACTAAATACTCCTCTGTGCTGGGCAAGTTGAGGTTAAAGATAAAGTTGTTCTTACCAACTGTGGCCTCAGTGGGCTCCTTTTTTTTTTCTTTTAATCACCTTTGTTCTTCCCTTGCTACCTCCTGCAAACTGCTCTATTTCTGCTCTGAAAAAAGTTATTTTAGGGATTGGATTTTTTCTTAGGGGATTTACCCAGATTATGCAGTTCACACTTTTATTACTGCAGACTGTGGAAATCTCCCCACCCTCACATCCTGCTCTGATACCAATGCTTATGTCCTGAAGGCGGCAGAGAAATTTAAAAAGTTAAATATAGATAGTTTTTGTAAAAAAACAGACCGGAAGGCTGCAACTATATCTTCACTGTCATAAAACGACCTGTATACTTCTATCACGTGTAATATTTGGGCCAGGTTTACTGCCTGGGTGCCAGCTCTTCCTTTTCACCAGCTGTTCAATGTGATGATTATCATTCAGCTTCCAAGCTTC